CCTCCATCAAGGCAGACAGAGTGCGCATAGTCTACAAAAACAACGCCTACGTGGTGTGTGGGTAGCAAAACTAATGCAACCAACAGATGAGAAGTTCAACTTAATACAGCATAATCGTGACTTATGCATACAGCAAAGCAACCAGTTCCCGACCTACTACGTGGCACGGTCTTCACACACGCCACAACTCGTGACACCACTGAATAACTCCTCTTGCGAGGATGACATCTACGAGCGTCCGCGTCTAACTTCGCTCCAAAAACCATCTTCCCTCACCGCAACGCAAACGGAACGTTCACCTACATACAACAAGCAACACATGCTCGGCTTTGAAGCATCAACACTACCAACGACAACGAAGTCAGATGATGCGCCTACTGACAAATACCTGTGAGTAAGTTTAACCCACAACTCAAACTTCCACAGAATACTCACACGTCATAGCTTACCTTTGCTTGGCGTCTTAATTGGTTTGGTGAAATGCATCACTTCACTCCCACTGCTCGTCACCGTCACAGTCACTAGGTACAGTGTGTTGGGTGTCAGTCCATCAACAGCTACTGCTCCAGCACTGCTGTCTGCAGACGCAGACTGAGTCTGTTCAGGGTCAGACATCAACATTGCTTCCATTGTTATTTCTGCACCTAGCAACTCCTTCCTGTCTTTCGCATCCCATGTTACGCGAATGGACTCAGTGTCCACTGCAAGCTGATAAAATGGGTCTGGTGGTCTGTTCGTTGCGTGTGTTCCTTCTGTCACACAGAAAAAAGACATCAAGGATAAAGAAGTGAGAGAAATGGGAAAGCGCCGGTGGTGCTAACAACTCATTATCAGCAGCTGTCAGGACGACAGACGCTACACGACACTCGCGTGCGTTGGAGTGAAAGGGGAGAATTATGCGCGAATGCAGTGGTTGAGGCTTGACACAGAGCAGAGAGAAGTCTTTGGCAAATGCCGCGACGCGAGCATTGCGTTTAAACCCATGCTGTTGGGATTCGAGCTCCTTCAAGCGGGGGCCGATTAGTCTATCATGCTCACTGGACCCTTAACAATGTGAAGCAAGGGAGTGATTGGGCACATGCATACTCGCAGCCATTGGCGATGCGAATTAGAGAAGAATGATGAAAAGGACAAACACGACAGACAAATGGCACACTTCTTCGCAATGCGGCCGACTTTATTGTCACAGTGAGCACCATTGCGGTTGGACGCAGTTCTGCCTGCACACTGCTTTCTCACAGGCATGAGGTCTAGATTTACACACATGGATGCACTTTTTCGTCTCACATGAGCGGTTGTGATGGCGCTGTAATAGGCTACAACACTTACAGCAAATAAGTGGTGTAGCTGAATAGTGGAGTTGTGTGGTAGATGCGATGTACATGCAGGTGATGGCGAAACTGTCGGCGCTGATCACAAATGAGTTCTAATCGGTTCAAGACTGATGCAAGGAGAGAACGAGGCTTCAAACAGACTCCGTTGCAGTTAACT